CGAGGACCCTTCCTCCGCTCCTTCGTCTTCCTTCCTTCCATCTCCCCCGCCTTTCCTCTTGAATTCGCATATCATGCCTTTGTTTGCACGGCGTCGGCGCACTGTGGTTGGCAGCCGCTGCCGGCCGACCCTGGGTTGCATTGTCAATTCTAGCTTGCCCGTCAGCCGCTGCTGGGCAGCGTTGCGCCAGGCTGGGCGCCGCAGTGCCCGCTTCTATCACAAGATCTATGTTGGCGAATGCGTCCGCACAACCTGTGGTTATCCTTCATGCGCCCTTCTGTGGCTCTTTCGTCTCCTGTTCCTCCCTCGTGCCCTCTCACTGCGTTGTGCACCCGTGCGACTCTCGCTGGCTGGAGCCAGCAAGTTACGCACGCGCGAGTCTCCCTTTTGTGGGTCGTGCCTTGTTTCGTTGATCTCCTTCTTGGAGCCGACAGCTGTCGGCGTCAATCCAGGTAGTCCCGGCCACGTTCGCAGGACAACCTGTTAACATGATTGCTGTTTTGCCTGCCATACTTTTCAATGCCCACCTTGTGGTCGGCGGCCCTCACGCTCTCTTCCTCCTCCTCCTTCTCCTCCTCCTCCTCCTCCTCCTCCTCCGCCACGCTCCACCTCCTCCTCCTCCTCCTCCTCCTCCTCCTCTTCTTCCTCCCCTCCCTCCTCCTCCTCCTCCTCCTCCCTCCTCCTCCTCCTCTCCTCCTCCTCCTCCTCCTCCTCCTCCTCCTCCTCCTCCTCCTCCTCCCCCTCCCTGTCGCACCCCGAGGCCAGTCGGAAGGGCGGGCTGGGCATTTCGCTTTCGACTTCCTTACAATGTATGAGCTCCAAGCTGAAAAGCTAACAACAGCTTCACAGACGGAGGGCGAGTCTCTTCCTAAATGCGGCTCTTGCCTTAGCGCCTCGCACATTCGTTTCAAATATGTGTAAGAACTTCACATATTGAGGGCGTGCCGGCCGTTTCCCACATGTGGTTTCCGCCGTAGTGCCGCGCACATTCGTTTCAGAACGTTGCGCAAGAAATTCTCGGATTGAGGGCGGGCCGTTTTCAAAATGTGGTTCTCGCCTTAGTGTTGGAAACATGTGTGTTAAGCTGTGCAAGAGATTCACGGATTGAGGGCAGGTCGTTTCTTACATGTGGCCTTCGCTTTAGCGACGCGCACATTGCTTTTGAAAAACCCCAGAACTTCATGGACTGAGGGCGGCTTGGTTTAAAACGGTTGTTCTCATATCAGCGCTGCGCACATTCGTTCTAACAATTTGCCAGAGTTTCACCGAATTGGAGCGGCTCTTTTTTTACTGTGAGTATCGCCTCAACGCCGCGCACGTTATCTTAACACATCCGCTCGAGTTTTACGGATTGGAGGCGGCTCCTGTTCAAAATGTGGCCCTCGCCCTAGCACTGCGCACATTCGTTTTCAATGCTCGCAAGAGTTGCATTGATTCCCACGGCTACTGTACCAGAACGTTTTTTTTCTGAACGGTTCAGGATGCTAAGGGCGCAGGACGTACGTTGATTCGCGGTGTTGAAGTCTCAGGAATGGCGTTCTGGCCGGATTCAGGATCGCCAAGACCCAACAGTCAGGTTTACTCGTGGCGTAGACGCCCTGAGAACGGTATTTTCGCACGCTTCCGGATTTTCACGCGCTTGTCTGCCGACGGGGCATTTCCCCCAGTGGGAATGAATCATGGTAGGGGCCCATGAAGAGGGAAAGTGGAGGGAAGGTGACTTCCAACATCGTTGATGACTCTTGGGTTTACATTTGTACTCCTCCTCCTGAACCTCCTCCCTGCCGGACTAGTTCGGGCATCCTCGGTGCCCATTCGGTCCGATGTCAGTTCGTGATCATGTTCTTCGGCGTGTTTTATCATAGTGGGGTCCCCTTCCCATCAGTTGGGAAGCTGGCAGTTCTCATCATCAGGGGCTGCCGCATCGGAGAAGTTCGAGGCGTGGGACTACTGCTGGAAGGTATTCCGGATAGCCGCGGTGATGGTTGACGTCATCCTGGAGGTGGCGCTGCAGAAGCACAGGGCGTGCACAGCGGCGCTGGACCGCGAATGGCTGGAGAGTTGGTTCACCGTCTACCTCGCCGATCACACGATGAGGATAGCGGGCATTCGCCGCACGCGGTCCCTGATTAAGGACGACTTGCGCCGCGGGTTGTTGCCGCCCCCAATTGCGGGACGACTCCAGGCCCCGGGGCGCGTGTTTCCTCGCGGCGGCCGAGGCCGAGGCCTACTGGAATGAGCACGTGCGGAATCTGTGCGTGGCGTGGCTGCCCCGGGGCAGGGAGGGCTCGCGCCCGCCACGCGACGGCAGAAAGTTGCGGATGCTGCGATTGCGGGCGGTGCTGCGACGATCGCCCTGCCGCCGATGCCGCCACGGGCGCCGAGCGCCAGGGGCGGTGCCCCGCGGCCGCGGGAGCAAGGGCTCTCCACCTTAGCCACAGGCGCTAGGATTCGGAGGCGGGCAAGGGAAGGAAGCAGGCAGCCAACGGACCCGCCGCCGCCCAAGTAGGCGAAGGGCGACGGCGAGAGCAATACTCGGCCCCGCGTGTGCATCAGGACGCAGGACGGCAAGCCTCTCTGCTTCGCGTGGAACGAGGGCCAGGAGCCATGCTGGCGGCAGATGCAGCTGTGGAGCCGCGCGGACGAAGGGAGGCGTCGCCGGGGAGCGCGGAAAGGAGCCCTCGCGAGCTCGGCGGGAGCGGAGCCGCCCTCCCCAGACCAGACGTTCTGAGTTGCGCGCCGCCAGCGAACGTGTGGAGAGTCGGGGCAATGTTCTCGTGCCCGAGAAGCTGGCTGACCCTCCGCCGTAGGGCCGCAGCGTGCAGGGGGTTGGAACTATCGCGGATGGCACAAACAGGCTCGCGCGGACGCCGACGACCTTGCAGTGAGCGGCATGAGGAAGCCGTGGCAGTCCTCCTAATTTGGAGTCGACTACGCAGCCCATTGTCCAAGGCGTGGGAGCAGAGGCATGGCACGACGGTCTTCTGGGGCGCGAGGGTTGGGGTTACCTCCAGCAGCGCTGCGTTCCAGCACAATCTGATGGCAGAGGTGGCGAGGCTGCAAAATCAAGAATCGGAGAGTGTGTTGATTTATTGGTACAAGCGTTTTTGAAACTATTCGGCTTGAGGTTTTGTTACAGCATACGCGGAGGCTTGATTTCCCCTTGAGGTTGGCGTGGCTACTACTGTTATTATATCAGCAGCCCAGGCTGGTTCGGGCGTATGGCTCTGTGTCTATGTGTTACTCATCGGCTCAAGGAATGCTTGCAGGATGCTCGCACGCATGTGCCATGATGCTCCTTCTGCTCCGTGATGTGCTTGAGCGCCTACGACGTACTTTCCCGCAGGTCATGCCAAGGGCCCTAATGGATGACGTCAGCTTTCAATGGGTCGGGCCCAGTGCGAGGCAGGCCACACCGCTTTTTCTGTGCCGTTCGATGGTTTGCCCAAGAGGTGGAACCCCTGGGTTTGATCATACAGACGGACAAGAGTGGCTGCGTGACGGGCACACATGTCTCTAGAAGGTACATTGGGCGATTTGCCAAGTCCGTTGGAATCTCTTGCCACATGCATATGCGCAACCTGGGACGCGAGCTCACGGGGTCCAGGATGCGCAAGTCTCAGGGGAGGAAGCGCCTTCTCGCTATCGGAGCTCGCCAACGCCGGCTACGCGCATTGCGACGTGGAGCCCCTGGCAAGACGAAGGCTCTCTGGAGGACGGGGCTACTACATGCGGCGGCTCACGGGGCTGGCGTCAGCGGGGTGACACCCCATACCCTCCAGAAGCTGCGCACCATGGCGGGGGCGCTTGTCGGCGCTCGCTCTTATGCCAGCGCCACGGCATGGCTAGCCACTCAACGCGATGAGTTATTTGACCCCGTGTACGGCACGCCCATTGTATTGCTCATGCGCTACTGTGCCACGGTATGGGATGGGTTGTTTTCTCTTGATAGTCTGCAGCGTGCCTGGATGGCCCTGCCCACTACCGTCACCGACGATGGCTCCTGGATGCCTTGTGCTGGGCCGCTCTCAGCAGTTGTGCTCGCGCTGAAGAGAATTGGGTGATCTATGCAGGCAGCGCGTCTACTCGTGGACGACGAAGAGGGTTTCGCACGATTTGCTCAGACTGCCACCGAACGACGTCAAGTTGGGGCTGCGGGCAGCACTGGGACGATGGCAAATGGCAAAGATCTCCAGTCACATACCAGAGGCTGCAGGTCTACATGCACGACCCTGGCGACGAGCTCTACGGCTGGGCATACTGAGCCAGAAAAGCCATCATCGCGAGGGCTGTGCCCGCTGCCTCCTTGGCTCCGCCCCATGGCCCCCTGAGCGCAAGCGTCAAGCAGACTTGCAGGCTACAAATGTGCGTGAGCTGTGTAACTTTGGAGCCGTTGGGAGTCTTGGGCACCAGCTGTACGATTGCGAGGCCCTGCAAGTGACCCCCGTGGAGCTCGGCTTCGACCCTCTGCCGCCTGATCTCCTGGAGTTGGCATTTGCGCTCGCAGAGCGCCCGCCCTGCCTGCCATCTTTCTCCACGCAGAGCGCTGGCGCTCACTCACGCAGGCGCCGCCTGCAACAGCCGAGGCGCTCGTCTGTGACATGCGTCTCGCTGAACTCGTAAACTCGTAACCTCGTAACCTCGTGACCTCGTAACCTCCTCCTCTTCCTCATCCGCCGCCGCCTCCTCCTCCGCCTCCTCCTCCTCCTTCTGCTCCTTCTCCTCCTCCCCTCCTCCTCCTCCTCCTCCCCCTCCTCCTCCATGTTGCTTCGCAACTGTGCTGAGTCTGATTATGATCCTCCTCCTCCTCCTCCTCATCCTCCTCCTCCTCCTCCTCCTCCCCCTCCTCCTCCTATTCTTCCTCCTTCTGCTGCTGCTGCTCCTCCTCCTCCTCCTCCTCCTCCTCCTCCTCCTCCTCCTCCTCCTCCTCCTCCTCCTCCTCCTCCTCCTCTCCTCGCTTTTCACCCTCGTCGTCAGCCTCATCCGACCCTGCCCTCGAGGCTCAGAAGGCCGCCCTGAGCAGCTCGCGCGTGGAGCTCCCACCAGTGCCCACCTAGGACGGGGGCGCACCCCGTGGGCACGGGAGTCCAGGAGCGGAGAGGGGGAGAGGGGGAGGTGGGAGGAGGGGGGCGTGGAGAGGAGCAGGGGGAGGAGGGGGATCTTCCCCTCCTCCTCCTCCTCCTCCTCCTCCTCCTCCTCCTCCTCCTCCTCCTCCTCCTCCCTCCTCCTCCTCCTCCTCCTCCTCCTCCTCCTCCTCCTCCTCCTCCTCCTCATCCTCCTCCTCTTCCTCTCCCTCCTCCTCTCCTCCCCCTTCCTCCGTTTCATTATCCTTCTCCTTTTCCTCCTCCCAGTCATCTTCTATACCTAGGCTTGATCACAGTAGTTACTGCCCTTCAGCCCCGTACACTGTTCTTGTTCAGGGTGTTGTTGATACAACGTGGTTCGATAGCTAAGCTCGCTTGCGCCCTAATGTGGAACCTTGTCCAGGTCTGATTCCACCGAGGTTCCGGAGGGAGGAGTCACACGGAGATTGTCGCAAGCACCTCCCGCCGCTGTGATATTGCTGTCTCTCTGTCGTCATCCTGTCTCTGCGCCCCACTTGCCAGGGGGGGGGCTGCGACCCTTCACCCCGGACCCGATACAACAAAACATAACAACAACCAACATCAAAACAACAACAACAACAACAACAACAACAACAACAACAACAACAACAACAACAACATTCATTTGAAGTTTGTTGGTTCTTATCTGCTCGAGTGTCATTCAACGTGTAGTTCCCAAATCCTCGATACCCGCCATCTTCGTTTTCGATCGTACCCTTCAGGGGGGGGGGTCGATTTTTCTTCCCTGCAGGCTCGGCCCCGGCAAACGGCGGGGCGGCCGCGGAACGTCGGCCTGGCCAGCGGCAGCGCTGACAAGCGGCAACCCGGCCCCAGGAGGGACAGACAGGGGACCGACCACGACGACGACGACGACGACAACGACGACGAAAATAACGACGACTACGACGACGAGCAAAAGCGACAGCGAGAGCGAGAGCGAGAGCGACAGCGGGGCCACGAAGGGCAGCGATGGGGCCACGAAGGGCTGCAACGGGGCCACGTAGGGCGACAGCGGGGCCACGAAGGGCATGCGCATGGGGCCACGAAGGGCGCAAACGAGCGGGAGCCACGAAGTGCAGATAATGCAGGGCCACAGAGGGCAACGACGGGGCCACTGAGTGTAGCAACGGGGCCACGCAGGGCAGGGAGGGGGCCACAAAGGGCGACGGCGGGGCCACGAAGGGCATGCAGATGGGACCACGACGGTCCCGAGCAAGCGGGGGCCACGAAGGGCGCACGCATACTGGGCCGCAGAGGGCAGAGACGGGGCCACTGGGTGCAGCAATGGGGCCACGAAGCGCTGCAACGGGGCCACGACGGGCAGCGAGGAGGCCACGAACTGCATGAATATGGGGCCACGACGGTCAAAAAAAAAACGGGGGCCACGAAAGGCAAACAGATACGGGGCCACGAATGGCAGCGAGGGGGCCACGGTGGGCTGCAACGTGGCCACGAAGGGCAGCGAGGGTGCCACGAAGGTTTGCAACGGGGACACGAAGGGCAGGGGGCCTCGACGGGCTGCAACGGGGCCACAAAGGGTAGCGAGGGCGCCACAGAGAGCTGCAACGGGGCCACGAAGGGCTGAAGGGCAGCGAGGGGACAACGAAGGGCAGCGAGGGGGCCACGAAGAGCTGAAACGGGGACCACGAAGGGCAGCGAGGGGGCCACGAAGGGCTGCATCTGGGACCACGAAGGGCTGCAAACGGGCCACGAAGGGCAGCAAGGGGGCCACGAAGCGCTGCAACGGGGCCACGAAGCGTTGCAACGGGGCCGCGACGGGCAGCGAGGAGGCCACGAAGGGCTGCAACGGGGCCACGACGGGCAGCGAGTTGGCCACGAAGAGCTGCAACGGGGACCACGAAGGGCTGCAACGGGGCCACGACGGGCAGCGAGGAGGCCACAGACAGCTGCAACGGGGCCACGACGGGCAGCGAGGTGGCCACGATGGGCTCCAACGGGGCCACGAAGGGGCCACGGGCTGCAACGGGGCCACGAAGGGCAGCGAGGGTGCCACGAAGGCTTGCAACGGGGACACGAAGGGCAGGGGGCCTCGACGGGCTGCAACGGGGCCACAAAGGGTAGCGAGGGGGCCACAGACAGTTGCAACGGGGCCACGAAGGGCTGAAGGGCAGCGAGGGGACAACGAAGGGCAGCGAGGGGGCCACGAAGAGCTGCAACGGGGACCACGAAGGGCAGCGAGGGGGCCACGAAGAGCTGCATCGGAGACTACGAAAAGCGGCAACGGAGCCACGAAGGGCAGCAAGGGGGCCACGAAGCGCTGCAACGGGGCCACGAAGCGCTGCAACGGTGCCACGACGGGCAGCGAGGAGGACACGAAGGGTTGCAACCCGGACCACGAAGGGCAGCGAGGGGGCCACGAAGAGCTGCAACGGGGACCACGAAGGGCTGCAACGGGGCCACGACGGGCAGCGAGGAGGCCACAAAGGGCTGCAACGAGGCCACAACGGGCAGCGAGGGGGCCACGATGGGCTCCAACGGGGCCACGTAGGGGCCATGAAGGGCTGTCTCGGGGCCACGAAGGGCAGCGAGGGTGCCACCAAGGCTTGCAACGGGGACACGACAGGCAGGGGGCCTCGACGGGCTGCAAGGGGGCAACAAAGGGTAGCGAGGGGACCACAGAGAACTGCAACGGAGCCACGGAGGGCTGAAGGGTAGCGAGGGGGCAACGAAGGGCAGCGAGGGGCCAACGAGGGGCAGCGAGGGGGCCACGAAGGGCAGCAAGGAGGCCACGAAGGGCTGCATCGTGGACCACGAAGAGCTGCAACGAGGCCACGAAGGGCAGCGAGGAGGCCTCGAAGGGCAGCGAGGGGGCCACGAAGGGCAGCGAGGGGGCCTCGAAAGGCAGCAAGGGGGCCACGAAGGGCTGCAACGGGGCCACGAAGGGCTGCATCTGGGACCACTAAGGGCTGCAACGGGGCCACGAAGTGCAGCAAGGGGGCTACGAAGCGTTGCAACGTGACCACGACGGGCAGCGAGGAGGCCACGAAGCGCTGCAACGGGGCCACGAAGCGCTGCAACGAGACCACGTCGGGCAGCGAGGAGGCCACGAAGGGCTGCAACGGGGCCACGACGGGCAGCGAGGGGGCCATGAAGAGCTGCGACGGGGACCACGAAGGGCTGCAACTCGGCCACGACGGGCAGCGAGGGGGCCACGAAGGGCTCCAACGCTGCCACGCAGGGCTGCAACGGGGCCACGAAGGACAGCGAGGGTGCCACGAAGGCTTGCAACGGGGCCACGAAGGGCAGGGGGCCCCGACGGGCTGCAACGGGGCCACAAAGGGTAGCGAGGGGGCCACAGAGAGCTGCAACGGGGCCACGAAGGGCTGAAGGGCAGCGAGGGGGCAACGAAGGGCAGCGAGGAGGCCTCGAAAGGCAGCAAGGGGGCCACGAAGGGCTGCAACGGGGCCACGAAGGGCTGCATCTGGGACCACGAAGGGCTGCAACGGGGCCACGAAGGGCAGCAAGGGGGCCACGAAGCGCTGCAACGGGGCCACGAAGCGCTGCAACGGGGCCACGAAGCGCTGCAACGGGGCCACGAAGCGCTGCAACGGGGCCACGAAGGGCAACGAGGTGGCCACGAAGAGCTGCAACGGAGGCCACGAAGGGCAGCGAGGGGGCCACGAAGAGCTGCAACGGGGACCAAGAAGGGGTCACGAAGAATTACAACGTGGCCACGACGGGCAGGCCTGCGCCACGCGATTTTCAAGCGGCAGCGCAGGCAGTCGCTCCCGACCGAGCGCGATCCGCCCCACCGCGTCTGCGCGCGCGTCTCTGCCGACGCACGGACGTGCCCAACCGTACCCAGGGTTAGGTCGGGCGCGTCCTCCTGCAGGCGGATTTTGGGCTTATAAATACATATATACATATATTCATATATAATTATATACACACATATATATATATATATATATATATATATATATTACAAAGTCAAACACTATTCAAAACATGACAAGAATAATTGGACAATCATCCCCGTATTATTTGTTTCACTGTTCTTGAATCTCCCTCCTGTAGAGGGACGCGCCCGGCTTTAAGCCAGGAGCGCGCCCGACCCCCCCACTTGGCAGCACCCGGCCCCCGGACTAGCCGCTCACATTAGCCACCGCGGGGCCCTGCCAGCCAGGCGCGAAGCCTGCGTCCGAAAAGCCCCTAGGCCTCGATACGCGCTGGCAACTGCGCCGCCTGGACACGGCAGGCCGAGCTGCCACTGCGCGAACTGCGCCAGGGCGGCCGCCAACTCGTGCACGCCCCTCGCGCGGCCGCGAACGTGCGCACCCCAACAGGGCAGGAAGCCCGAGGTCAGCCTCCACCGGAGCCCCTGGCACGTCAAGAAATCGAGCGCACCCAGGAGGCACGCCGCACACCGCACACCGCACCGAGGTTGTCCGACTCAGCGGCTCCCCCGACGGCCGGCACCACTGCTGGGTTATACCGAACGCCGTGAGGGCGCGGTTCATTGCAGCCAGCCCCAGAGAAGACGATTCTAACAAGAACGAACTGTCGACGAATTCGAGGATCAGCGGCGCAGCGGCGCAGCGCAGCCACTGCAGGGCAAGGTTACGAGTGCGACCCGCTGGCAGGTTAATGGCCTGCGGCGCGGCGGCCAGGCAATGGGACACGATCGTCGGCCACCTAGTCGTGCTGTTTCGGCGGCAAGGGCTGTGGCAGACAATGGCATATGCATCTCTGGCGGCTCTGTCCGAGGGGCATGGCCGCGGCGACCAGCCCTACACCGGGCTCGAGCAATGCTGGGCCCTTGAGAAGCTCGCCCAGCGATTCACAAGCGGACCTCCGCGGCTGGCGGCGATCAGAATTCCACCCATGAGCCGGTCTGGGCGGGCTTCTGGGCGTTGGAGCCCGACGTGGCGACGTACAGTCGGGCCCCTGAAGAAGGAACCCTTTTCGTTGCAGCTTGCCTTTCGTTTTCC